AGATAGACCTGAATATGTAGCAAAAGCTTGAAGTGGTATGTGACATCAAAAATCACTATGGAAATATGGAAAGGTCCAAACTATCAAGGTGCTAGTTTACAAATTTGGATTGAAGTAGTAAGTGGCAAGTTGGCATTAGAAAGTAACACCTGATCATCTTCTTGGAAGGTCTTGTATTGCCAATGGTTTTTCTTATATTGCTTCTATCAATTTTATGCAGTAAAGAAGTAATGTTGTGTCTTTTGTAAGGCCGTCATAAATTGTTGTACAAATTCCTCCATTGCTAGATTGTTGATGTCGATAGGACAATAAAGAATTACTGGCATAATAGGATACTAAAAAAATATTAAGAAAAAATAGTAAATAATCGATACTTGCTTGAATACTATTATTATAAGCAAACTTTAAGGGCGCCAAGTATTGATCTCAATCATTATGATGAACCACCATAAATGCTCACAATATATCTTCTAAGGTCTAATTTTCATGCTCTATTTGTCCATCTCTTTGGGGATAGAAGGTTGTAGATGTGACAAGTCTTATGCTTAGTGGCTTGAATAAAAGTTGCCAAAAACTTCACATAAAGAGTGGATCCTGATCTAAAATGATGACATGAGGTAATCCATAGTGACAAAAGACGGTATCAAAGAAAACTTATATAAGCATTAGAGCATTAATATCTGAATGCACTACGACCAAGTGAAGTTGCTTTGAGAGTTGATCCACAAAGACAACAATTGCAATATGATTATGAGGTGTCTGTCGCAAATATATAATGAAATCTTTAGTCACTTGCTTCCAATGTGCTATATGTAGTGAAATTAGCTGCAATAGTCTACAAGATATTGCATTGTATGTTTTATTATGTTGACATGAGTTCCAAGAGTGTACAAAGGTTTGAACATCAAAATCCAAACTTGTCCAAAACCATATCTTTGAGATTTGTTCTAGAATCTTTTCTTATCTCAAATGTCCAAATATTCAGATGTCATGTCATTCTTATAGTATGAATGTCTAGAATATAGTATTGTTGGATACATAAATCTGCTTCTTGAAATAGAGCAAGGCATCACTAAAAGTGTAATCTTAATACTATATATTGTCTACCTTAAGTCAATTACAAACCATCTTAAAATAAACAACTTGATACATAGCTTCAATCCATTCTACCTCTTTGGTTAGATTTTAAATGATATTATTAATAGTAGTAACTTCTGCCTTCTTTCCTAATTTGTCCTTCAAGTTTGGTCTCTACAATAAGTTGTTTGGCACAATATGTTGTTGCCTTTGCTTGTATAGAAGTTGGATATCAAAAAGCTGTAATTATTTTTTTTAACGATAATGTCATGTTTTCATATTTTTTAGATATAAGTTGTGTAGCAAGGATCAATGGTCAATCCAAACAACCACTCACTTTTCCAACAGATAGCATTGCCATACCATTATGGTAATACAATCGCTAATTGCTCTCGATTATGTGCAAAGTAATTATGCTCTATTCTTTTGAGATTGCATGATTCATATGCCTTAAGTTGAAGGCTCCTACCAAAGTCTTGTTAAAGAACCATTGTAATAGTAAAGTCAAAAGCATCAATGTCAATAAAATTATAAAGATTTTGTTTTGTAGACTTATGATAAATAAAAAGAATATGAAAAGTTTTAAAAAAAAAAATTATTTTAAATTATATTTTATGTTGGCTAATTCTTTGAAAAAAATATTATTTCTATTTATATGATTGAAAACTTCTATATGTATTATCTTACTACACAATTGATTTTATCATTGTATATAATCCTACATTGTTGAAATTTTATAATATAAGATAAATATATTTTTTATCTGTGATGTTTTTAAAATATATTAATATTATTTATACTAATTTAAGATTCTATTACAACCATTATATGAATGAAGACTTAGTATTGCTTAAATAATTATAAAATAATATATTTTTATTTTAAAATTTGTATAACTATCTAAGCTCTAACAAATAAATGTTATGATGGTTTCCTAATATTCGACTAAATTTTGTAAAGACTTGTTCTAATCTCTAAGAAAATAATTATAATTATATAATTTAAAATTTTAAAATCTATTATTAATAGATATGAAGGATATTAAATAATATTGTAGATAATGTTAGATTGTTGATTTCTAAATGCGACTTTATAAGGCTTAGTTCCTTTTATAAAACTTTTAATTGGCTATGATTGTGTATTAATAACTTTACTTTTTTAAAAAAAATATATTTGAGTTTGTGCTTTGTATCTTAAATCTATCAGATTTGATATTGCAATTTTTAATTTTATGACATAATTTTTTATAATATAAATATATAAATATAAATATATATATATATATATATATATTTACAAAAATAATTATCTTTTATATCTTTTATTAATTGTTTGAATTGAGTTGAATTGATCTACAAATACCTTGGACCTAATAAATAGATATATAATGATTTACAAGTTATTGTCATAACTTGGATTGTCATTCTTCAATTAAATCTTTATACTTGGCATCTTCAAAAGAATTGAATATTGTTTGCTATTGCTTAAGTGATGAAATATTCTAATGAATCTAATTTTGAAATTGTCAACAATAAAATTATAACCTTATCTTTTAAATCATTTTAAAAATAATTAAAAAAAAAACTGATAGTTTTAATTCATATCACAAATAAGCTATTAGAATTTTGCAATATATATAGCAATTGAATGTGCTTTCTATTACACATTATACCTCTAAAAAATAGTTTAAATCATACAAAGATCTTTATTTATTTATTTATTTATTTATTTATTTATTTATTTATTTATTTATTTATTTATTTATTTATTTATTTATTTAAGATGTAAAGCAAGAAAGAATATTTTTAAATAGAATTGAGTCTATAATCTTACTTAAGTAAAATCATCAAGCTATCAAGAAGGATTAATTTGCAAAAATATTACTTAAAAGATAAGTTTTAATAGCCACATGGTTCAATTATATTAGATTAGATTAGATTCTTGTAGCAAGATAAAATAAATAAATAAATAAATAAATATGATACAATAATTGTTTTTTCATGTTTGGTATCTTTTCAACAATAAATCTTATCCAACTTTTTCAAGATTTTTATAGATTTTTTTAATTCATATGTTCTTGCTTAATCTTTTGAGGATAGTTTTTTATCATTGATTTTGCAGGCTTGGATACACAAGTTCCAATATTGTTTTTTTTGAAAGGGGTTGCATATCGACAAGAGCAAGCATTATTGAAGGTACTTTTTTATTATTATATATGAAAGATAATCATTAATAATAAGCTACTTTTTAAAATGCCACACTTATCCTTTCCTATCACTTTATTGAAAACATAAGTAAGAATGATAAGAAGCAAATGTGACTAACTCAAACAATGTATTTCCGCCTCCCTTTGTGTAGTTACATTGAATAAAGAAAAATATGGTGAAGTAGATAGCTAAGTTACTTATCTATCTAGACTCACCTCAACAACACACATGTATTTGCTTTATATAATCCCAAATGATTTATGTAATTCCAAACAGCCTTTGATGTAGGTAGTTTGTATAGCATTATAAGTTATTATTTTCACAATGCAGAAGTATTTTTGCATGGGCTTTGTCATCTTTCAAACTTCAAGCATGTTGCACTAAATTAGATGTATTGGATACAACCTTAGAGCCATTAATTACTTCCCATGATTCTACTCCACTTAAAAGAGCATCCAAATTAATACTTCAAGTGCAATAATTAATTCTATAGAACAAAGGAATTAATAGAGCGTAAGAAAAATTATGAAAAGCCATAGTGGATGGAGTTTTGCACTTACACTAAAGAAAATGAAGGATTATTAATGCTCTGATACTATATAAGAAAAAGAATACTAACAATGATAAAATAAAACATAAAGTATATTAATACAATAACTTGATTACATCATATTCATAAGAGCCTTTTATATTGTCTTATGGAGTAGTAACTTTTGTAGTAGTAATAATAATCTTAATAATAATAGCACTTGCAAGTGGATTCTTTCATTTCTCTCTTTCTAGGTATTTCATGATTCTTACTTGTTATGTATTTAATTAATAATAGAGAATAAATAAAAAAAAAAAGTGGGAAAGAAAAGAAGAAGTGGTCGGATAATGGAAATGGAATGAGTATCTGATTAACATTCTCTTTGCTTGCTCTGCCAATTGGGTGTTTCGTTTGCTTTGGTTCTCATTTGTTCTTATCCTTGCAATCACTGCACATGCCACCAACAGTTTCAAAATTGGAAGGTTTGCACGAAGGAAACAACTGGCCGTAATGCCAACTCCACAATTGAACACAAAGTCCATGAAGGTTTTCATCATGTCTGCTCAATTGTGACAAAGCCATAAACATTCCAAGACGAAACTGACATACATGTAAATGGGCACTTCCTACGAGTCCTATAAACACGAAAATTCATCATAAATGTAATGATTCTTGGCTACCCAGCCCCTCCACGATGAGGTAAGGAAATCCTTTTGTTACACAAGTAAGTACAATTTTGTCGTCTTGAAAACTCTAATTCAAAGCTAGTTTGAAGGCCAACTATTCTGTAAACGTACATTGGATTTTACACCTTTGAATCCTAACCAGGCATAATCAACAATACAAAAACAGAAAACATACACCTAAGATGTATCCAAAAGATGGTGTGAATAAAAGCTTACTAAGTTCTTACTGAAAAGAACCCAGCTTGAAACTGGGTGCTTGGTCTAGAAAGGGTAAAGGAATTGATTTTGCTTTGTAATGAATTTAGGAACTATTTTTCGAAGTCACTGCGCCGAGGCCAGCTATCATCAGCTTCTTAGTAATGAATTCATAGATTGTATGTTGCAGAAGACTGAGCACATCAACATCATGTAGGGATGGACAACGAGGACGAATCCATCCCGGAGCCGAGGAGGATGAGTGAGCTGCTGTATTGAAATGTGCTTTCGATCACAGAGAGCCGTCGATGCGGGGTCCCGATCCACATTCCTCGGGGAGAGAAGTTGTCGAGGGGGGATTCTGCTGCCGGATGGATTCTCTTGGTTTTTTCCGGGTTTTAGTTTTCGGGAGCTCCGCTTTCTTTGGGTGCTAGGGTTGTTGCTGTTCAGGTGCGGTGTGTTGTGGTGACGGCAGCGGCGTTGCTGCAATCTTAGTTTTGCTACGTTTCTCCTGTTGCCATTCCGGTGGTCAATGCTCCTAGTGTGGCGACGCTGGTTTTGCATTCTCTTCCTCGCATTCGTGCAGTTGGAGCGAGATCTGGCTTTTTGCTCGCGTTACTGTTCCCGCGGAGGGGGGCTGCTCGTCATTTAGGGCGCTTCTGCAACGCCGTTCCTGGCTGTTCTACCTTTTTTGTTGTCTGTGGCGATCCTGCTTCGGAGTGTGCTGCGATCAAGGCTGGTGGCTGCGGAAGCTCCTGTTGTCAACGTGATCTGGTTTCCGTACTTCTTCCGTTGGTCTATGGTTAGAGGGCGAGCGATACGGGTGTTCATGCTAAGGTGGTAGTTTTCGACGGCGCCTTGTTGCTCTATTGTTGTTATTGCGCCGCCGCCTGCCACTGGAGTGTCGACGGATTCCCTTGCGAAAGTTGTTTATATCTCCCTTTTTCCAGCTTCTGCTTCGAATCGTGTTGCTGTTTGTTCTGGTCCTGCATCGAGCTGGTGCTCGGCTTATGTTCTTTTTCATAGTGTGTGAAGGGGCGTTGGATGGTGCTGTTGCACTGTGGTGGAAGCATCAAGTGTTTGACGGTGTCTCATGATTCTGTTCCGTTTGGTGCTCTCTGGTGGCGCTTCTTTTTTCGGGTTGGTGGTCCAGTGGCATTGAGGATTGTCGACGCTTTCTTGTTGCTGGCCTCGTCGTTTTCGCCTGGTGATTCTTCGGTTCTGTTCTCCACTATCTTGTTGTAGGCCAAGGCCGTTTGATGCCACTGTTGCGGTTGTGGCTGCAAATTCGACTGCTTCACCGACTGTACTCCTTGAAGTCATGGCTGCTGCTGCAAGTTCTTGAAGAGAGTTGTGGACGTTTAGGTCGTGGTTGGTAGCTGTCGGGGAAATTGCGGTATTTGCCATCCGCCGACCCGCGTTTTTGTCGCCGTGGATGCTGGAGGATTAAGTCCTGCGGTGCAGTGCCGTCAATTTTGGCTGGTGGTCGACTTTATCCAGCTCTTGCTGCTGTGCTCGTTCGTCTCCGACTGTTTTTGGGCTCCGGTGTTGTTCGACTATCGCTGAGTTTCCAATCATCGTCGTCGCCTTTAGTCGGCACTCTCGGTGGACTGGCGGGGTTGGCAGGTATTGTTGAATGGGAGAAATGATGTTCTGCAACTAGTAGGCGGACGCGAGTATGCTGGTGATGTGGGTCTTAATAGCAGATATCGATGCTTAAATTTGGAGATGTGACTGTGTCAGCGAAAAGTTGAGCAAATAACTTGACGGTTGGAGTCCCTACCGACAATTGCAGAGAGGCAACGTTGTTCAGAATTCAGTGTTGGAAGGGTGTTCGAAATGTAGTACCGATTTGTTAGTGCTGATGAGGTAAGGTGGTTGTTCATTAAAACACAAAATTGTGGTGTATGGTTGGCAGCGGAAGGTCCTCGTGAGGCAGGCATTGAAGTTGACAGCGTAGTGAAAAATTTATGTAAGCAGCTTGGTTGTCGATAGAACCGTCGGCTTAGCAGAAGAATTTCATGTGAGCAGGTAGCATCTGGAGTTCGGATAGCTTCCAGTGATACTCTTGGACTCGGAACAATTGTGATACCATTATCATCCGGCAGCCCTCTTTTCCATATCCCGAGTTTCTGTTGCAAGTCATCTTCGCCTACCCAGTTTCATTCCTGTGAAGGGTTGTAAAGATTTGTGGCAGCTTTGCCAACCCACTTTCATTCCTGTGAAGGGTTCTGAAGATCGAAGGACTTTGAGCCGCCAGTGGGTCGGCGAGCAATTCCATTTCTTCCTGCACAACTGCTATCGCAGCTACTCCAGGCTCGTTTTCGACACCTTCCACATTGCGGTGAGACTTCCAGATTGGATGAATGGTTGGATTGGATGACTAATTGAGTTGGATAAAGTTAGGTTAGGAATTTGATCAACCTATGTGGATGAACAACTTGAATGAATACTCACGTATGGGTGACTTCTTATTGTTAGATGACATCTCATTTATGGATAAAGTTTTGTATAAAGATGGATTCTTGTCAATGGATGAGAATATCTAAATTGAGTGATGATGGGGGTACGATTTTTTATTTTGCTTGCTTGTGTTAAGTTGGGCTAATTTGAGGGAGATTGAAGGTCATGCAATAATTGCAATTCATTGGATATTAAAATTTGGTGATATTAAAACATGGTTGAATAAGTTACCAATAGGGTGGTAATATTTATCTTGCAAGAATCTAATTTAGTTTTTCATAAGTCAAATGCTAATATTTGATGTGTGCATCGTTAGTAGGTGACAAGGTCATCTCCCAGTAATAAATTTGAGCATCATAAAGTACTATTTTCCAATTCTTCTTTGAATTATGGCTAGGTTGGACCCTACAACTCATACTTCAAAATCAATGTTGCCAAATGTTAATGGTGTGGGTAATGTTCTTTCCACTACAAAATCAATATGTCTTGAGTTCAAAATAGTTTTATTACCTTGGTTGCATTATTATACTTCTTTTTATAATATAGGTAGTGTATTTTCCTAGGAGCATGTTTTTGGTTTTCTCTAGTTGTAAGTAATGTTGTGCTAGTCTTTACAAAGTCTTTTTGATTGTATTGACAACCATATGATTTAATATTGGTGCATGGTTACGAAATACATGCAGAGCATACTCTTGGTGGAGTTGTCTCAAGCAAATGTTCAGAATTGCAATTGTATTTAAAAATTGCAATGAAATCCATGGAAAAAGTCCAAGAGTTAACTTCTCAAAGAGAGGCAACAAATTTGTCAAAATTCAACAAAGAGCAATGTGAATATTTAGCTTGTAAACTCAAGATGACTATTGAGAGTGCTAGTGCATTCTTTCATGCCATATGCCATCGCAAAGACATTCTTGAAGAAGCTTTGGTAAGTTGTGTAGGTAATTTCAAGCTATTTGCTACAAAGGCAAAAGAAATTGAAAGTTTCATCCAAGATTGTTGCAAAAATGCATGGATCGAGGTTGCCATCATATTGACAAAAGTACAAGAGCGTGTTTCATTAATAAGCTTTAATTTGGAATTATGTAGACTTATATTTTTTGACTATGAGTTCAGAGCACCACTAAGCAAAACTTGGACAGAACTTGTTGACAAAATTGATGAGATAAACAGCATTGAAGCCAAGATTGTGCAAGAGAAAGCATTTCAAGATGAAGAGGCATTGTGAAAGAAAGTGGATTTGGAATTGAAATCATTGAATGGTAAGGAGAAAGAGTTGGCTTTCATTTTGCTTGAAAGACTTAAAAGCACATCAATTGCATCTTCACGAAACCCATTGAAGGGAGAATTGGACAAGGTGAAGCAACACAACCAAATAGGAAAAGGTGCATCTGCAACTGTATTTAAAGTTAATTGGTTAGAGATGGAAGTTGCAAAGAAGGTGTTTTATGGATCAAACAACAAACATTTTGAACAAGAAGTGTCAATTGTATTGGGGGTGTTTCATGCAAATGTTATGTCCATACTTCACTACACTTCAAGCAAGCATCAGTGCTCCATTTTCATGGAGTTGATGGATGGAGATCTTACTTCTCTAATATGGCACAGATTGGAAACTCTTCATCTAGATGTACCATTCTCCAATATAGTAGTTGTTGACATTATTCTTCAAATTGCAGAAGGTATGGTTTGTCTTCACTCAAAAGATATTGTGCACAGGGACTTGAAACCAAACAATGTTTTGGTGAAGATAATAGATATGGAAACTGGACATGTACATGCCAAATTGGCAGATTTTGGAATGTCCAAAACCAAGAAAAGTAGTTGTTCTACTCAAACACTCAATATAGGTACTACTAGGTACATGGCTCCAGAATTGATTAAAATCCATGAGCAAGGAAGTGAAAACCATGTGCTTACAAGTGCAAACAAACGAAAGTATCCACCAAAAAGTGATGTGTATAGTTTTGGTATGGTGTGTTATCAAATACTAACTGGAAAAGTTCCTTTCTCAGATCTAACTAATAGTGAAGCTAAGAAAAAGATAAAAAGTGGGAAGTACCCATCTCTACCTCATCATTGTCCACCAGTTTTGAAGAGTTTAATAGAAGATTGTTGGAAATTTAATCCCAAAGATCGTCCAACTTTTTTGGAGATTTGCAAGGATTTAAGGTGTATAAAGTACTTATTGATGACATCATGTTCAAGCTTGATAATATTGCCAAATAAATCAATCAATTTTCTATCCTTTACAACCTTGAGAATAAGTGAATCTTCAAGTTTGATATCATGGTTAAATAAACTGGATAATTATTCATCTTTGACTACTTGTGAAATAATTAAGTGCTCGAAATTGATATCATTGCCAAATGAATTGGGCAAGCTCATATCTTTGACTTCCTTAAATTTAAGTGGATTCTTGAACTTGACATCATTGCCAAATGAATTGGGCAACCTCACATCTTTGACTTCCTTATATTTAAGTGGGTGCTCGAACTTGACATCATTGCCAAATGAATTGGGCAACCTCACATCTTTGACTTCTTTATATTTAAGTGGGTGCTTGAACTTGACATCATTGCCAAATGAATTGGGCAACTTCACATCTTTGACTTCCTTATGGTTAAATGAGTGCTTTAAGTTGACATCATTGCCAAATGAATTAGGCAACCTCACATCTTTGACTTCCTTATATTTAAGTGGGTGCTCGAACTTGACATCATTGCCAAATGAATTGGGCAACCTCATATCTTTGACTTCCTTAAATATTTGTGATTGCTCAAGATTGACATCATTGCCAAATGAATTCGGCAATCTTTTATCTTTGACTACTTTAGATATGAGTAAGTGCCAAAGCTTGGCAGCATTGCCAAATGAATTAGGCAACCTCACATCTCTAACTTCCTTAAATTTATGTGATTGCTCAAAGTTGACATCATTCCCAAATGCATTGGGCAACCTTTCATCTTTGACTACTTTAGATGTGAGTGAGTGTCAAAGCTTGGAATCGTTGCCAAATGAATTGGAGAACCTTTCATCTTTGACTTCCTTAAATTTAAGTGGGTGTTGGAAGTTGACATCATTTCTAAATGAATTAGGCAACCTCACATCTTTGACTTCCTTAAATTTAAGCGGATATTGGAAGTTGACATCATTACCAAATGAATTGGGCAATCTCACATCTTTGACTTCCTTAGATTTAAGTGGGTGCTCGAACTTGACATTATTGCCAAATGAATTGGGCAAGCTCATATCTTTGACTTCCTTAAATTTAAGTGGGTGTTGGAAGTTGACATCATTGCCAAATGAATTGGGCAACCTCACATCTTTGACTTCATTAAATTTAAGTGGATGCTTGAACTTGACATCATTGCCAAATGAATTGGGCAACCTCACATCTTTGACTTCCTTAAATTTAAGTGAATGTTGGAAGTTGACATCATTGCCAAATGAATTGGGTAACCTCACATCTTTGACCTCTTTGAATTTAAAGAGGTGCTCTTGGTTGACATCATTGCCAAATGAATTGGACAACCTCACATCTTTGACTTCCTTAGATTTAAGTGGGTGCTCGAACTTGACATCATTGCCAAATGAATTGGGCAACCTCACATCTTTGACTTCCTTAGATTTAAGTGAGTGTTGGAAGTTAACATCATTGCCAAATGAATTGGGCAACCTCATACCTTTGACTCGCTTTAGGTTATTGGGCGATATGTCAAACTTGACATATCGTCCAAGAAATCGTAGAACCTCACATTTTTTATTTCGTTGAATTTGAGTGGGTGCTGGAACTTGACATCATTTCGAAATGAATTGGGTACCCTCACATCTTTGACATCTTTAAATTTAAGTGGGTGCTCGAACTTGACATCATTGCCAAATGAAATGGGCAACCTCACATCTTTGACTTTGTTAAATTTAAGTGGGTGCTTAAACTTGACATCATTGCCAAATGAATTGGGCAACCTCACATCTTTGACTTCCTTATATTTAAGTGAATGTTGGGAGTTGACATCATTGCCAAATGAATTGGATAACCTTACATTTTTGATGAAAAGAGTTGGATATTATTGTCCAAAGCAATAATCATTGATTATTTAAGAAAATATTTGTAAAAAAGGTTTCAAATCAATCAATTATACACGTATATGTTAATAAGAAATATAAAATTAAGCATAGATAGGATATTTTGAACATAGAATAACACAAAAATAATAATAATTTAAAGAAGATAGAATTCAAAATTAGAATTTAGGATTTAGAGGATGAGATTTATATATTCTCTAAGAAATAAATAGACTTTTTAAAGTTGTAATTTGAGCTATCCCTAAATTTTTGAGATCTACAAATTGAATGGTGGACTTATAATATTCTATTAGTTTTATAAATTTCAAATATAGGGCCATTAGGTGCTTTCCTTAGTTGATTTATGTATTTCTTTGTCTTTTTGAAAATTTAAATTGACATATCTTTCTTTTAGTTATGCTTTTGATTTTAGCAACACATTTAAAATCTTAAGTAAGTCTCTAGATTAAAAAATATGAAGTTTTCAAAATTTCTTAATAAAATTTTTAAATGATCAAAGTTAAAGAATGGAAGATAATGATTTTAAGAATATTAGAACATTACTCAACCATAAATACAAATAATATTATTCTAATCTAACCAAAAAAATGCTTAGAACCAAAAGATCTAATTTTTGAGATCCTAATTTGTTTAAATCTTAATTAATTTTTTATTGTATTGTCTAATTGTATTCAAATTAACAATACACATACACCACATATGTCTTCACAAACCCACAAAATTTTATTTATAAATTTGCTGAAAATCTTCCACACTTCATTAAAACAATTTTTTTTATGTAATACAAAGAAGAGTCAATGAAGAAAACCTAAACTATATAATAATGTCACAAAGTCAATAAGCACTTAATCCCTCAAAACTAATACTAAAAGAACTTTTTAAAGATTTCTTTTAGATAGTGCTTTCAATCAACAAACAAATCCCACATTTGTTGGTGTATGGTTTTGTGCCTTAAAGACTAATTTTCACCATGGTTCATTATTAACCTTCTTTGAGCTTCAATCTAAGACTTTTTAGATAATTTTTATTAAAAATTACTCTTTATTTTTACTTTAAGATGCCTATAATATTATTTTTGTTAAATTAGTTTATTTTGAGTTATTTTTTTATCCTATAATGTAAGTAGAAGATATTTTTTTAAAAAAGAAGCATTAACTCTAAATTATTTTATTACCTTTTTAACTTTTATTTACATTTTTAATATAACTATTTATTATAAGATCTTATATAATAAAATTCTTCCATTTGTCTTTTACTTTAAAGCCATACCACAACATAACATTGTTTCTTTAATTGTAATAAGTTTTGTATAATTTTAGATAGATGATAGACTATCACAAAGTAAGATGTAAGAATTTGATAATTAAAAATTTGTAATGAAGTCCATTAAAAAAAATGATTGAAGGTTTTCAAAAATACATAGAAGTTGCAAAGTCCATAGAAATGATGTTATAGAGTCTTGATTCAAAAATAATTATCACAATATTAAACAAATTTATTTATTTTGTTTTATATTTGATGCCACCAAATATTTATATAAATAAGCTTTCAAATTAAATTGTATTTAAAATATTACATTGCTAGAAAGTCATGTTATACTTACAATGCACATAATAGTACTTAATCCTTTGGATTATATAGTCTTCTTTCAAAATAAAGAATTGTCTTTAAAATCAAATTTTCTAGAATCATTATAATGCTAATTTTTCAACATAAAAATAAAAAATTCAAATAAATTTGGACAAATTTAATTAGTAATAGTTGTGCCATCTAAAATTCTTATAATAATGGCTTAAAGATGTAACTACTTTGATTTAATGAAAATATTTTATTGAGAATCATATGCAACATCTTCTTTTTTTTAATGCAAGATAAGAATATCTTGACAAGGAATTTAAAAAGCTTTATTCTTTTTAAAGAAAATACAAATAATTTAAATACAAATCATAACAAAGACATACTCTAACAACCTTGATAATAGTTTAAAATATATGTTGATATAAAATACTTATAATTTATATGATTAATTAAATAAAATATTTATTTTTAGATTATAATTCTATTATTAAAAAAATTTATGAAAATTATAATTTTTAATTATATTTTTCATAATTAAACTTGATTGTTGAGAAGTTTTTAGAGTGAAAAAAATAGAAAGAAATAAATCTATTTTCAATTATTATAGATTTCCATTTAATGCAAAGTTTGATGTATTTATTTTAATAAAAAAAGACTTGAAAAAATTCAAGCAATATAAATTAGAAGTTAAAGTGATTTTTTTTTTAAACCTTCTAATGCTCATTTTTTTTAATCTTAAGTCTACAAGAAAAATGCTTTAAAAAAAAAAAAACATAAAATATACAAATAGAATGAAATTTATCTATATTCAATTGTTTTAGAACTAAATTTAATACAAAGTTAGATGTATTTATTCTATTTAATAGACTTGGAAAAATTTAGCCAATATAAAATATAAGTTAAAGTGAAATTTATCTTTAAAACTTCTCATGCTCATTTTATTTATCTTAAGTCTACAAAAAAAAATCTTTAGAATTTAATTATATACATAGAAAAATAACTCATAAATTCTTAAAAATTCTTGATAATTATTTAATAATAGTTTAAAAATACTAAAAAAATATGAATTATGTATAGTTATTAGAGTTGTCTAATCCATACTATTTTTTATTTTTTTAGATTTTAAAAAAAAATATATTATTTCTATTTACATCATTCAAAACTTCTACATGTATTATCTTACTACACAGTTAATTTTATCATTGCATATAATCTTACATTGTTGAAATTTTATAATATAAGACAAATATATTTTTTATCTCTGATTTTTTAAAAATATATTAATATTTCTTATACTAATTTAAGCTTCTACTACAATCACTAAATGAATGAAGACTTAGTGTTGCCTAAATAATTATAAATTAATATATTTTTATTTTACAATTTGAATAACCATCTTAGTTCTAACAAATAAAAGTTAAGATGGTTTCCTAGTATTCGTGATGTTTATTTATGACTTTGAGATATCATTTGTGCGCCACTTTATAAGTCTTGATAGAACCCAAATCCATTATTAATTGTAAGATTATTCTTAGAATAAATTATTATTTTCTTATTTTTACTTTTATACTTTAAAAATAGAAATGAATAAATTGATCTAAGTATACATTAAATCAATCTATTTATCCTATACATCATCAAAAAAATTCTCCACTATCAAATCTGTATTAGTCAAAAATCAATGAAAAAATAGATGGATCCTCAATCAATAATGATAAGTGGGTTTTCTTAAAAATTCATAATTTGATAGAATAGGTTCAAATTATATTTTTTAAATATATATAATGATATATATATATATATATATATATATATATATATGTCACACAAAAAAATTAAAAGTTATATTAAATAAATATTGATATAAAGATATATAAGATTTACTCTTATAATTTTATAAAGTGTTAATTTATTTTATAAATAAAAATTTTAAGTTCTGTATAAGTATTATTTTTGATAAAGAATAAAATCGTCTAAAAATTATAAAGAAAGAAGACATAAGATTACAAACAAAACATGACATAGAATTCAAAACAAAGCAATTGTATAATTGATTCGAATTTTTTCTTAGCAACATCAAAGTTTATTTTTCTTGTCTTTTTATTTGTGATATAATCATAAGTTTATTACTAAAAAAAAAAGTATTACAAAGAATTTTGAAAGTCTTAATAAAATTTTATTAAGAAGTTTAAAAGACCATATATTTAGAAGATTTTAGAATTATTTAAAGATCTTTAGGAACTTCTACAAATTTTTAGAAGCATTTTTAATGGTGTACAAGGTATTTAAAGCTATAGATTGATGTAAATTATTAATAACTTTAATTCATTATTATAATATTAGGATTTTTTTTAAATTTTAATTATTTTTTCGTATGATATTTTGAATAAATACATATTTAAGTTTTTTTTGGTATATTAAAAACTTTATTAATTCTTCTATAATACTGAATTAAGTTCTTTAAATTTAAATGATATATAGAATAATATAAAAATATAATCAATTTTGGTATTGATAAAATAAGTATAAAAAAGTAAAAGCTAATATTTTATAAGAATCAGACATAAGATGTATATTAAATATTAAAATTTATTTAAAAAATTAAAATTAAAACCATAAAAATATTATTATCATATGCTTTAAATTGATTTTTAAATTAGATATTAAATAATAGTTTAAAAAAATTAAAATTGATAAAATATTAAAATAATAATAATAAAAAAAACATCTCTATAAATATCAAAGATAAGAACTTGATGAAGGCAAATAAATAAGTTTTTTTTTTCAAAGAAACATGAAAAATTATAAATAAAAAAATATGTATATTAAAAAGAAACTAGAATGGTTATGGTCAAAAGACAAGAATATTAGAGATCCTTGAAACAATATTAGAAACAAGAATGGAGTTGATAAAAGTGAAGAATTCACTCTTATCTCTATATATACTATCAACTTAAGAGCTACATAGTAATATTCTATAAGACCTCCAATACGTGTCTAATTTATAAGACATATATTTTAACTTGCAAGGCAAGTTTTTTATATGTATGTAACTTTGTTAGCTTGTACTACAAGCTACTAATACATATAACACATGGTTAACTTGTTGGTCAAGTTTTTAAACTACCAATGACTTTTAGTCATGTATAAAGGTGAAATTGTGTCTATGAAGCTTTTAGGAAGCTTTTCCAAAAGATATTATAAAATTAATATATCTTTTTTTACTTCTATTTATATATATTATCTAAGTAATTATTAAAATAAATATATATATATATATATATATATATATATATATATATATATATATATCTATGATATTATCTCTCTTATTAGAAGCGAGTTCCATAAGAAGCGGTGATTACATGTTTATGAAGTGCAATATGTAACAAATTATATTTTATATATATAACTTGACTATTGTTTCTTTTAAGGAGTAGTTGATAAGTCCTCCTAACTATTGATAATATCCCATTTCAAGGTAGAAAAACCACCCTATTATTTCATCATTGTTGAAGCCTTCATAACTTACTTCAAAAAAAATATTTATTATACTATTAAGGATTGTTTCTACTTCTAATAAAATCACCAAATATTGGAAGTCTCTTCTAAGGTTGTGATATCAAATACATTATATCTTGCCATCTATTTGAGAAAGAACATATTTTTCTTGAGGATCTTCATCTTGAT